TGCTCTCAGCATTAAAGCGCAGATTCAGGGCATGGTGAAAAAGGGGTCAATTTGTGTGAAATGCTCCCCTGCGTTTAGTGCCAAGGAACTTTAAACCGAGAGCAGCGAGTGCACTTGGCAATATGCAGAGCTAAAGAGCGCACTCCACCCAGCCGGGACTGCTGCTTTTCTTCATCCTAGTGTTACAGGGAAGGCTCTTCAGCAAAGGACACCAGTGTCACGGCAACACCTCCCCACCTCCGAGAGGCACCGCTCCAGGGGCAGCAGCACGTCCCTACCTGCAGACACAGCTCCTGCGGCCAACGTTTTCCCGCTACTCCTTCACCAAGGCTTGGGCATCCTCAACTGACCGCTCAAAGGTGCGCTGCCTACCCACACTGCTGCTGACTGAGGAATGCCTGTTATCAAGCTAATTGCTTACTCTAATTAAAACCAGGCAACACACAAAATGGTTATGACAACAAAGATCAATTAAACAACAGCTAGGCAAGCTTCCACTTCTCCACAACATCTCACGCCACTGGCGGTTAGAGACCACATTCAGCAACAGTCTATTACTAAGATTATCCTTAAGGAAAACAAGAAACGATTAAAGAAACCCCACAAAGCGATCAGGATCACACGAACGCCTTTCAGTGCTGAAGATTTTCAAGGAAGTATCTTCTATAAATAATTTCTGCTTGACAAATTACAGCCTAATATATTTTGTCTCTCCATGTCACCAGAGTCTGCTAGCCCCTTGCTGTTCTAGCGTTGCAGCAATTAATCTGCAAAGAATTATTTTGCTTTGGCATTTCCTACGAGCACTGAGGCAGCGGAACAAAATCCTGCCTTTCTCCAAGGAGGCTGCTGTCTACACAGGCACGCAGATTTTTAACAGCAAGCAGCAACACCTGTCAGTCATACAGAAACTGAACATTAATTCTGTGTGCCGGTTTCCTCTGCGCCCCATCTTCCCCTCAGTGCAGTGGTTAAGAACTGCCACAAAATGACTTATGGAACTAACAATAATAATAATTAGTCAAAGCTGCTCTTAGCTCTCAGTCCAGATTCCAGCTCTCGCTTCAGGAGTCAAGAAATTGGAGTGCAGGTGGGAACAGAGATGTGTGATTTACTGCACTACATCTCTGAAAGTTGGGGGACGTGCAGCTACCGCAGGGTAGCAGTAACCAGGATTTTTATTCTCGGTGGCACACCAAGAGCTTTGACACAATGAGATTCCGCTGGGCAAATTGCTTTATATCAGAGGCTTTGCAGTCAATTTGTTTGTGTACAATGCTACAGATCACTTACAGTACGTAAGAGGCAGCTTCTCAGATGAAGCATCTCAAACAATAAGCAATTAGCTCCAGTTTTACCTGTTCCATATGGCAGTTGTGTTGTACCAGTCACAAAATAAGTTCATAGTCGGGCAATGGGAATAAAATGGATAAAGCCATCAATAAAAAAAATAAAAAATAAAAGCAGACAGAGATTTACTGTAAATAAAACCACTTAAAACTACTTAACACTCCAAGTGTACTTTCAATTAAATCGAAAAATAATTTCTTTTATTATAAAGCTTTTAACATAATATGGCGCCCTCAGGTGGCGGAACTCTGTACTTCCTCCAGCAAACAAATTTTTTCAGACAATGCTTGGGAGTGAAGGATTTGCTTCTATACCCTTCAGTGACTCGAGAGCAACACTCTGATTTCAATTTTTAGCCATGTCAAACTAATATTTAATTTTGACCTAAAATCTGCTCTATAAGTGAGGAGACTGGAGAGGTACTGAAAGACAATTAAAAAAAAAGAGTCAACATAACTACAACGGCACAGTTTAACAGATTTAACATTGAAATACTTACAATTCTTTTCTAAGTTCTTCCACTTTCTTGTTCTCCAGATTTAGAAGCTCTTTTGATTTATTAAGTTCCTCTTCATTTTTCAGGTTGTTTTGTTTAAGCATGTCCAACTTAAAGAGGAAAAAACCCCTCATTACACTAATGAAACCACACAGTTCTTAGGTGTAGCACTTGGAAAAGACATTCAGCAAAAACGGGGACCTGAGTTGAGCTGTTCTACTTTTTCATCTTTAGTGCTTTAAATTAATTCAGCCTGTTTGTACTGAGAAGCATTTGTCTAACAAAAACCATTAGGAGCCTGTCTGCATTCAAGTCGAGCAGCACAAAGAATTCAAAGCCCGTTGAAGGGCAGCTCAGACTAATCTGTCACATATACCCTGATATAAAAGGTAAAGCTCCAAAGCACCTCCATTTTAAACGCTATATGACTCAAAACACTTTTTAAAAAAAATAAAATAATTCAACATTGGTTGGTAAAATTAGCTGTTCCCTTGATCTTTATTCCTCCAGGATAACTAATAAAAAGCTCTGCTTTACCATACCTTAATTTCTGAGAAACAGTAGGCTGAATGTTGTGCTTGCAACCATGAGAAATGAATTCCCTTCAGAGATCTCGGTGCGCGGGACAAACGGTTGTGTCTCTATTTACTGAGCTTGTGTCCACCACGTAAACACCACAAGCTCGCAAACCTTATTTGTCCGCACTCGGCCACACATTATTACATAACAGATAATCTTCAGCCATTCTCATGGCATTACAGGACCCTGGGGATTTTTTTTTTATTATTTTCCCCAGCCATTACTAACGTCACCGCTTTTAATTCTCGAGTCATCAGATCTCGTTGGAAATCATTACAGTTGCAGCACAAGCTGTGGCATTTCAGCCAGCCCAGCTGTTCACTACCCATTACTACGGGAGCTGCAGAAGATGAAAGAGGCCACAGGGTGGTTCAAGGTCTGCAGGAAAGATGCCAGTTCGATGTTAGACCAGATACTCTGGGGCGAAAGAGCGTGAAAGAGACCAGTGAGGACATTCTTCCCTTCTTTGAACCCCGGGTATCACAACGGGGTGGGCAGACAGGCTGAAAATGGATCCCTAGGGAGACTGCTGTCCATGTTGGGCTGTGAGGTTCTCCGGGACCGTTGAGCTCAGGTACTCGTACAGTGCACAGCTCAGCACAATTTGTACTGGTCAGTTCACAATGCTGATTAACAGAAAAGTGGCACAAAGAAGAAATGACAACGTACACACGTCCAGATCACAAAGAGGATGCACAGAGCAAGGAGTGCATCACAGGCGAGAAACGGAGCGGTAACTGCTGTGGATCAGGAGCACTGTTACTCAGAGCTCTGCAGCCCCTCATCCCATGCTTACAGCCAGGGCACTGAAGCACAGAGTGGTCACATCGAAGCAACTTATCCAAAGCTAGACAGCAAGACTGATTAAGCCTCAAGTCAAACCCATGTCTCTTGATTCTGTGATCTGCAAAAGCATCCAGAACTCCTATTACATATGTTCTTCTTTGACACTGCACCAAGATTTAAGGGACGCAACCTCCTATGCTGTAGTATTTGAAACCACATGCAAAATACAAAAGAATATGGGTCACAGGGCTATATAAAGCACCCAGATTTTCCATCAATATGCACTCATCTAGTAAGTTTTCACAAGCCAGTCAAGGCTGACTATTGTGGTGGGAAAATGACCAAATCCACTCTTGCCTTATCTAACACTCTATAATTCAATATTGTTCCTTACAAACTAAGCAAAACTTTTCATATAAAAGCATTTAAATGTGATTACTTCATTCTGTAGCTTCTCGTTTGTCTGTCTAGAGTTCTCCAAAGAGGCCAAAGTTTCGATCTTTTCTTTGTGAATGGCATCCTTCTCTTTGGTCACCTGCTCCACAGCCTGGAAAACATCTTCTGCCATTTTGGCAACCTAAATATATACATATATATAAAGGGGGGAGAGGGGGAAAAAAACAAGTATTACCAAAGGGACCTCTGAAAGCAAAAGGTGAACCACAATACTTTATGCACAGCTCCACGATTTGCCAGTTGCTTTCCAATTAAATAAGGACTTCAACTGGGAATTTACTACATTTTGAAGCTGCATAAAGTATAAAAACAACTGGACATGAGAAGATTCAGTTCCATGCAGAAACAGATCATAACCCCATGCTTGTGTCATCACCAAGGAAGCCTGCTGCTTCTTTTTTAATTCCTGGATTTCTAATTACCACCACTGTGATTGCTCTTAGACTTCAAACCACTTTAGACAGTAGTAGTTCAAGAGATATTCACTTCCAACAGACTGCTCTGCTTTCAGAAAATGTGGAATTACAAAAAGCTGTTAAAAAATTGAAGAGGCATTAAAAATTAAATAGGAGATAAAGCCAATTATCACATTATTTCAGTGTTGATCATTCTGCCCTCATAAAAGGAAATACTTCACAAGAATATCAAGATACCTAGGTAGGCAGAATACATTCCCACAGGATACCTTGATTCCAATTTGTATTCAAAGTGATTTTATGGGCTTCCAGCCACACAAGCTGAAATTCAAAATACTTTACAGAATTTGTTGGCGGTGAACACAAAACACTGCTGTGAATAAAAAGAACACCAGAACTGCCGTGTCTTTAACAGACTGAATGTCCTACAATGCAAATTTAAATGGTTCTCTTACACTGCTTTTTATCCAATTACATTCACAGAAGCAGTGCGTTGTTTTACATTTTTCTGAGTCACTCAAATTTGTAGTTTATTGTAATTTAACATAAAAATGCACAAAGATCTAATGTAAAACCTTATCTATTACTACTCTAGCTTTTAAGCTGCAGTGGACTTCAACAGAAGGAGCTGCTCAATTTCTCCTACCAGATTAAGGAAAGAAAACTTCCTTTTATTCACAGTTTATGTTGTTTTCTTGCAACATTCAGCGACAACATAGGTTTTTGAATTTAGAAATCTTTTTTAAAAAAATATTAAAGTGTCTTTTAGACTCACAACTCGAAAAAAACACTAACGTATTGAGAGAGACCACAATTCCAGCCTGTTTATACCGAGATGAAGTGCTGATTGTGCAACAAAGTGCAGAGAGGAAACCATTGGGTTAGTGCTCAGTATTAGTACAACCATTCTTGAGTCTTTATCTACATAGGTGTTTCAATACCTCAAGTTTTTGCGCTACTGTTTGGGCCTGGAGAGTTTCAATTTCTTTTAGTTTCAAAGCCAGATTGTTCATCTCTTCCTGCAGCGTCTCATTTTTGCCCTGAGAGACCAGCAATTTGCCTGAGAGGTCATTATTAGTTTGTTCTAAAAGTGCCACTTCCTCATGCAGTTTATAATAATCCTTGGAGAATTTCTCCTTCTCTTTTAGTATTTCTTCCTTAATGATGACCAGACTCCTCTGTTCAGCAAGCAAGCTGTCATTTTCCTGAAGTAACTTTATTCTCTCCTCCTCCATCACCTCATGCCTGTGTTGAAGATCATCCAGCCTCTTGGAGACACAGCTGTGCATGTCCTGGAGCTCTGCTTTTGATTTAGACACAGAAGCAAACTCACTCTTCAGTTGTTCGACACTGGAAGCAAGCCGCTCTGTCTCCGCACAAAGGGTTTCTTTTTCTTTAATTATTTCCACCAGTTTAGCTTCAGATTTTTCTTTCTCTGTCAGAAATTCTTTATTTTTCTCTCTCAGCTCTTCTATCTCCTTCTCTAAGAAGCTGATGTTGCTTTGACGTTCCATACGTTCCAACAAAAATGATTCCTTGTCTAGTTTTCTAGCTTCCTGTTCTATGGTCAGGTTTTCTTTCATAATCGCAACCTCTCCATTTAATTTCTGACACTTATCTTGCAACTCAGCCCTCTCTCGGGTCAGCATTTCCCTATCAGAGGAGCAGGTCTTGAATGAAGATGACAGGACCTGCTTGGCATGTGATACAGCAGTCAGTTCATCTTCTAATGTTCTTTTGGCATCCTGGGCCTCTTTCAGAAGATCTGAAAGGTCGTGTTTACAGGCTATCAGCTCTTGATTTTCTAGAGTCTTCTTACTTAGTTCTTCCTTGAGGGCTTCAATGGAATCTTGGAGCACGGTGTTCTCCTGGGCCAGAGCTGTCTTGATGGAGATGTCCAGTTCATGTTCTCTCTTCATATCAGAAATTGCATTTGCAGAAGACTCGTTTTCTTCAAGAAGCTCTGAGTATTTGTTCTCCAATTCATTCTTCTCTTGGAGAAGAGCTTCATTGTGCTTTTCAAATTGCAACAACTTACAAAAAACAGATTCCTTTTCTAAGTTCAGTTTGTTTATTTTCTCAGTAAAGACTCTCTCAGCAAGTGTGGCATCTGCTGTGGCCTTAGCAAGCTTTTCAGTAATTGCCTTATTTTCATTTAAAAGTTCCTCCCTTTCAGCCAGAAGCCTTCGTTCTGACGAAGAAAGAGCCTCTTTCTCTTGAAGCAACTGAATACATTCAGAATGGGACCGCTCTCTTGAGGCTTTCATTTCCTCAAGAAGATGAGAGAGATTAGCAAGGGAATCCTTCAACTCCGTGTTGTCTTTCATCACTGTTTTACGTTCTTTATGTTCGGTCTCTAGCTCTGTTTGCATCTCTTCTGTTCTCTCTTTTAATGCTTGGTTTTCACTAACCGTATGGTCTAAACTCGCACGCAGCTCTTCTACGCTTTTACAGAGCATCTCCTTCTCGGACTGCAGGCTCTGACTAGTCTGCAACAGACTGTTCATTTCATTTTTTAAGGCTATATGTGTGTTTTTAAGATCTGAGTGTTTACCTAGGGCTGAATCTCTCTCTGCAGTCAGAGTTGACACTTTTTGGAGTAGCTCTCTTTGATCTCTGGCCAAGGCCTCACTAGAGATTTCCAGCTTCTGAATAATATCATCTTTGTCTTTAACAACTGCATCTTTCTCTTCCAAAAGTTTCTTCTGACAATTCTCCAGTTCTTCCCATTCCTCGATACGTTTCTGATATAACACATCCACGACATCTTTGCTGGCCTGAAGTTCTTTCAACTGTTGGAGCAAGGTTGACTCCGAAGACCGGAGAGCATCATTTTCTTGAGTTATCTTCAGAAGGTCCGCCCGGACTGCCTCTAGTTCAGAGAGTAATTTGGTTTTCTCAGAAATGAGTGCTACCTTTTCTGTGCTGTCCTGCTGGCTTTTGGCCTCAGCTTCTTCCTTCTGCTTGACGATTTTTTTATTTTCTGAATTAAGTTCTTCGTTTATTGTCCAAAGCTGTTCTTGGTCACGTTGCATTAATGAAATCTTTGATTCCAACTCTAGAAGTTTTGACAACAAGGAACCTCTCTCTAATTTTAAAGTATTCCCCTCCTGTGCCAAAGTCTCTTTTTCTGACATCAAACCCCTCATCTTGTCTGACATTAGTTCAATTTCTTTTCTGGCTGATGCTAACACAGAGCTTAAGGACTAAAGAAATAAAGTCAGGGAGAAGGGAAAACAAAAATGAAGTCAAGGAGACAAATGAGAAATGTGGTTTAAGGGCAAACAGAGCTATTGTAATTTACGTCTTCAAAAAGTGTATACACTGACACACAGGCCCTGTGCGAACTGAGATTTCGTTACGAAACACTCGCCATCCGCAAGAAAACTCTTCAGTGGTTAAAACATAAAAACAAAATAATCATGGTCTGAAGGTTCCTCCATACAAGACTTCATCTTGTTTTTAAAACTACTCTCAATAAATTTTCTGAACGTAAATTACTCAGAAACGCCACAGAACGATTTCATGAGAATTTAAGTGAATTAAAATGGGGGCAGTTATATCAGATGCTGACTTCCAGCTCTCAAATTCAAAAATAGATAATGTTCCTCATTATTCTGTAACAAAATATATTGTTATAACCCAATTACTTCAAAACACCACATCAGTGACGTATTTAAAGTTAACTCGTGTGCCAGTTTATACACTAAGTATTTTGCTAAAGCATAAAACAAAGATTATAGCAAATAACTAATAAGGGATGAAAGCAAGCAGAAATTGCAAAGAAACAGGATAAAAAAAATTACTAGGGTCAAGCTACATACTCAACAGTTGCACATAATACGGGATCACACTACAGCACAAAATTTCAAGCGGGTAACTTTTAAATGAAATATTTCACAGAATATTTTAAAATTCATGCATTTAAAAAACAGAGAATAACATCTGGCTCCAACTGACTGTGCTGAGCCAGATATCTATGAACATAAAATGTTAACAACATAGAGCCATGTTTCGTGGATTCTTGGGTAATCTAGGAAGAGAACCAGTTAGCTGTGTACGCTTCTCTCCCCTAACTAATGTTTATCTCCCCTGGAAAAGTTCAAAAAAGAAACATTACAAAAATTTTACTATGAAATGGTGAAGCCAGGCAAAAAACAGCGTTTCACCGAAAAAGAAAGATTTAAACTTTAAATTACTTGCAGAGTAACAAAGTGTACGTACTTTGGCCTGTTCCGCTTGCTGCTTCAGCTCCTCGGCCTGTGTTTCTAGCTCATCGTTCTTCTGTTGCGCAGTTCTCAGGGCCTCTTCTGCATCCAGCAAGTTCTGCTTAAACCCTCTGATATCCGCGTCATGTTTACTGATCATTTCGGAAGTTTCTTTTTCATACTTTGCCTGAAGATCCTTATACTCATTTTGGCTAGTCTCGATTCGCTTTTTCTGAGAGAAGATAAAACAGTTGGAACACAGTCAAAGCAGCAGTGGGACGATAATCCGCACACAGTCAGCTACGGCTTTTAAAAGTTCTTCTTACCATGTCCGTTAGTTGATCCTGCATATTTTTCAGTTCTGCTTGATGAATCTTGAGAGTTTCTTGCTGACTCTGCTCAGCTTTCTGTGCTGTCTGCTCCACATCTTTCTGAAGCTGAACAGCCTTTTCATTTGCTTTTGTAAGCTCAAGTTGTATTTGCTCCAACTGCCTACAAAGACCAAATAAAAGAACGTTACTTTTTGCTGACAGCACAACAAGCACAGAGATGAAAGACTAAATTACACTGAAGTTCTATATTATGTCCAAGCATTTAGAAAAAGATCGAATCATTTAACATATAGAGCATGTTCTGCTAAATTAAATATACACAAGCGAGACCAGGCACTTGCCTGTGTGCACAGCACCATGGCTGCCCATTACTTTGCCCCCAGTTTGGGGTTCTGTAAAGGTAAAGAAGAAGTATTCTACGTACAATTTTTATTTGAAACAAAACACCTTTCCTCTTGCTAGATAAAAATGTGATCCAAGTCTTTCATATATCCAAATCAAATCATTATGAAGGTAATCAAAGAATTATGAAGCACAATCACAAAACAGTCTAGATTATTAAAAAGGTCGTTTACTTGGGCAATGAGAAGCATGTTACATAAGAATTTCAGAATTACAAATGTTAGATGCTCTTCAAATCACTCTGAAGAGACTGTTTTGACTAATTTAGTTTGATAGAATAAGTTCACTCGTCATATCAAAGTGACACACAGAAGCACCTTGTTGAGACAGTCACAAAAAGATAAAACGAGAAGCTGGCAGTGCAGGAGTAAAGAATTAACGTGAAAATGTTCTGACAGCGATGGAATACCTTTCTTTCAACCGGAGCTCATCGTTCATTTTCGTAAGCTGGGCAGAGCTGTCTCCTGAAGACTTCATGATCTCTGCAATATCATTTTCAAGTCTGGCCTTAGCTTCAACCAGTTGCTGTTCTCTCTCTTCTCGCTCCTTCAATTTCTTCTCCATCACTGAGCAAGACAAAGGTGAGCAGTCTAGTAAATTTAAGCGAAAGAGTATGCACAGACTAGCTAGAAGACAGTAAAAAAAATACAAGCAGAGCCATACTGATGCTACAGAGCTTGCAAATTACCCCTTTAAAATTAAAAATTATGATTGATTGACTTTTGAACTGTTAACTGTAGCAGAAAGTAAAGAACTCTTCAGAAACAGGAAAAAAAGCAACCAGTCAAGCAGTCTTTTTTTCAGAAGTAATTCCCTTAACTCCGGGCCATGAGAAGTGGATACAAGTTCTGCCCATATCAGCAGGTAACCAAGCGCTACGACAGGTATGCACATCTCACGGGCGAGACAACTCACCAGCTATTTAGCAGAGCAGCAGACAGACAATGCAAGCAACGTGAAGCTACAGTGAAAAAATTACTCAGTCCAGGGCAGGCACTGCCACCAAGGGCAAGGACAGCCCTTGGGATGACTTCTACAGTCCCAACAATCGCTTGACAGGCTGGCTTACAGGGTACAGCACCATTCTCAGTTTCTTTCTACATTGGTTCTAAACTGAGACGTACAACTGGAAAGATACAGCAAGACTCCCTCCTGCGAGGCAGGAAGAAGTAGACAACCAGACTGACGTACAGTCTTTCTGATGCCCTTAAAAAGAAAACACTACTTATGGACAAGGCTTCTGTGAATTAATAACGTGAACTCCCACGTTCGTAAAGCTTCAGTCTGGTCCCCAAGCCTTTGTCCGGTGCCTGACCACCACCACGCCATGAGTTTGTCGCAAGGTCAAACAAGAATTTAACTACTGATTTGGAATACACTCAAGCAGGAGATCTTGGCCTTACTGCACGATTTCCTTAACATCATGGTCAGTGCCACAAAAGCCGTGTTCTCCCTAGCTTTCTTCTGAAGGCAGATGCATCGGTGAAAGCATTACGTACTATGACGGGGTGAGCTGAGCGGGAGGCGTACGAAAGCACAAAGCTGGTGCATTTTTCAGAACATTCCATGTTATGACTTCCTTACCAGTCAAACTGGACTTCAGCTGTTCCAGTTCTGAAGACATGAGTGCAAACTGCTCTTCTTTTTGGTTTAGTTTATTTATTGTTTCTATGCAAGTAAAATTTTGAAAACAAAGTTAGTAACTACTCAGACGCAGATAATTCTGCCTACTTGCAAAGTATATTACTCTTAACAAGAGAGGCTGCAAGTAATCCTGCCCTTTCCATAGCTGCTGAAACTGCTGTACCAACGGCGCAAATTTGAAAGCACATGGGAAAAAACCCTTTATTTTGCAGCATTTATTTTCTGCAGCTTTTCAATCCTTTGTATACTTTAGCAGCAGACGTACCTTGCATAGTTTGTTGAACATTTTCTGCTTCATCAGCTGCACTAGTAAACTTTTCTTTCTGAAAAATGGATAAAAACCTAAGGTAAGGTTTGGTAATAGCAGTATAATTCAACCACTGAATTTCTATTAGGTATTTTTCAAGTACAAACCAGAAGTCTTCACTCCTATCGTAAGTAGATCTGAAGCTTCTGAATTACAGTTCAGCACAGGTATATTCAGCAACATAAAGCAAGGTGTTCCCTTGCCCCAGCTGCAAGCAAGTCTCTAAAATTTCAAATTAACTTCTCCCTCAGCTAGCATGGCAACAGAACTGCGGCTGCAGAGCCCAGTGTAGGAGACGTGATTGCTGGGCTTCTCCATGCGAGAAGCCATCCTTGCTGCTCACAGGCTGCCCAGGGGACATCTGCAACCCCGTGATCGACCTCACACCAGTGTTTTCCAGCTTTACCAGCAGGAAGAGAGGCCGCGAAGACAAGGGAGGATACTGAAGAAGATAAGAAGTGAGACTCTTCCACAAACTTCAAGTATTTACTACGGCCATGGAAAGGTTTTACGACAGGGACAGTAACACCTGAAAGCTAACGCTAGGGTAGTTTCTCATGAGAATCCCACCAACTACAGAATCCTTGCAAACTTAACTAAATTTTCAAAATGAAAAATCAGGTGAAAAAAGTCTTCAAAACCCACTTGTAAGACATGTCTGTAGCGAGCACTAACTCACCCAACAGTTATAATAAAGGGCCGTGTGTTCCTTGATGAGTAGTATAAATTGAAGCTACATTCTGCTTCTGATTTGGTTTAGTATTTTATCTGAAATCCACAAACAGGTGAGTTCTATTTAGACCAAACACCTGACAACACACAACTCGGGTGAAATGATCAATGGATTCTATTTGTCATGAACACTTGCCTCCTTTTTCAGAAGTAAAATAGCTCTGAAAAACTGCTCAGTCAGAGCTGAGATCCTCAGATTTCCACTGCGCTCTCATCATAAAAACAAAAGTCCAAAGGATAAAGTCAAAATTCTGGGGTATTACTCACCAAAACTTGAAGTTCCTTTTCCAAAGAATCTTTAACTTGATTTACTGCACTCAAGTTTTTCTCAAGGTCAAGAAGCTTTTGCTCTTTGCCCTGCAGTTCTTTGGCCAGATTACTAGCCTAACAAAGTTGATGAAATGGAGTAAAATAAAATTACAAACATGAATGAAAAAATAGGAAAATTAAAAATTGAATCTGAAAGAAAGAACTATAATATTAAAATCACTGTAAGATGAAAAATAAAAAAAAACTGAACAAAA